TTAGCCGCGCATGATCTCTTATCACCGCCATTAGAGCGGCAATATTGGAGCTTTTTGGACTGCCACAAGAGGACTCTGACTTTTGAAAAGGGTCTATTCGGACGGTACAAGCTTCTGTCTTCGTCATCACCGTCTTCTGTCTTCTACGGCTGTGGTGCAGAGTAATTCCAGCCAAAAAGTTTAAGAAGGCCATCTTTGTGGTGGCCTGCTCAAGAAAAACAGCTTCTAGCCAGATGCAGTTGTGGTTCATGACCCACAAGGTCCAAACATTGACATAGCTTGCACTCATTGTGCTTAAAAGCTGAAGGGCACCCGCTCACAGGCTGTGCACATGCTTTCCGATCCATGAGGCCCAAATTTGAACGTTTGAATTGCAATGCATATATGTGTGATTACATCTCCATGAAAGCAAGAAAGTACCTTGGAGGGCTTGGGGAACAGTATTGTTACAGATGACTAACAGAAAACTGGAATACTACAAGTTGGTTAAGTGGGCTAGCTGGTGCACACTTTAGGAAGAATAAGCATCAAGGACACAAGAACTGATAGGGGAGGGTGCACCACAAGGCACTCATTGTGTTCTGATCAATTCAAGATGGACTGCTTTGTTTGTTATAGTACCTAGTGACAAAATGGCCTTATATATACACTTTGTTTCAACATGACTTGGCAAAAAAAGACGCTACAGCCCCTGCGAGCCAGTCAGAGGAACAAAGGAGATTATGTGACAGGTCTCTCCACAAGAAGAATGTATGCCGGCAGTGTATTTTAACGTGACTCACTTTGACTCCGAATGGCTTGTTGGGGCATAGCTTTTGCCTATTGTCACCTTATGTTGAAACAAGGTGCACTTCTCTGGGGTGCTTGGAGTGTTGATTGTTCCAAACTGGCAAGGCTTCCAGGCAAGTCACAGCTTAAATTTCCGGTCTGCTGTCATGTAATAATTGTTGCTTCCTTACCCACAGTAATGATACTAGTAATGGTACCAAGGTGCACAGAAAACCTTGTCACTTGTGTTTCGTGTGTGGTGTACAAGATCCTAAACAGGAAGATATTTGAATGGTAGATTAAGAGAACATTTATATTCACTCGGAGCCATGGTTGGGGGCTTTTGCCAATGCGGTGGGCAAGTTCGTCTGCTTCTTGCGCAGGGGGTAGCGGTGACGTCAGAACGCCGAACCCTGATTGGCTGATCGCGACCCCCTATCTCAGCGTCGTCTGCTCCTTTGCAACGTCGTCTGCGTCTCTCTTACCTTTCCTGCGACTTTCGGAAGCGCAGAGGCCAGATTCACGAAACGATCTTACGCCAAAAATGTGTGTAAGACAAAACGTGAGAACAAATTCATATTCACGAAACTAAATTTTTGTAAGTTTTGCGCAGGTTATGACGAAATCCTACGGCAGCTCCGGAACTGTCTTACGCACTTCTTACGATCAAATCCGCATGGCCGACAGCGTCGCGTTCGCGACGACCCACGGACGTTTATTTTTCTATGTGCGCTTCTCACGCGTCCCGACTTCAAGCAGCAAGAAAAAAGTAAAAAGTACTTGAAACAGACCACGACGAACGAGAACGCTGGATCCACAAACACCCGGGAAAAGCTCCAACGGCCACGATTCCACCGAACACGTCCAAGCGAGTACGGCAGTTAGGCCTAGCAGGCACTCCGCGACTCGGTGACCGTCTATCTGCCCACAACCGGCTGGCGTGCTGAATGGAATATGCCCGCGCGACCCTTGTGAACCCTTCCCGTATTATACTTTGATCGCTGACCTCAATTTTAGATTAAGAGGTCAATTTCTTCCTCTTGTTATCTCCTTGTTTCCCGAGGCAATGGCGACTCTCGCCGGTGAAAAAGCGGTGAATCTCCGACAGACGCAGGAAAGGTAAAGCAGCCATCGCTTTGACTAGCAGACGTAAAGCAGACAACGTTAACTGCGCCAACCCGCAGACGCCGTTAAAGGATGAGGGGTCTCGCCGCACACGAAAGGAGGGAAAAAGTATTTGGGAGGGAACTTGCGGGCACTAACGCGCTTACTCTCGGTTCTTAGCAAACAAACCTCGGCGCCTCGGGACACCTCGCCAGCGAGTCCTTTGACTTCCCTCCTTGATGCGCATCTGCTAGTTGTTGGACAAAAACAACGTACCGCTCGAGTTATTTCGTCTGCCCTCTCTGAAAGCCAAAGTCGAGCTCACTCTGAAAGTCGCAGGAAAGGTAAGACAGACGCAGACGATGTTGCGAGCAGACGACGTTGCAAAGGAGCAGACGACGCTGAGATAGGGGTTTGCGCGCGATCAGCCAATCAGGGCTCGGCATTCTGACGTCACCGCTACTTCCTTTCTCATGCGCAGAAGACGAAAATGAGCCCACCTGCGAGGCGTATTCATTGCAGGGACTGCAAATGTCAGCCTGATTTTGGCAGGGTTACCATTCTGGGCACACACAGGGATAGGGCGACGAGAGAGATTATAGAGGCCTTCCACATTTCGCGTCATAAGCATTCATCTGTTAGTGAACCTTCGTTGGCACCATCAGCAAAACAGATATCAGTCATGTAATAACGGGTAAAAAATGTAGATTACTGACACGCTTCACAAATGCGAAGGTGGACCTTTGATTGTGTGCAATCTTTTAAGATACTGTGTATGTTTTTTCTGTCTCCGTTTCCTTCATTAACATTCTTCAGTTGCGAGTCAGCATTGTCCTGCCATGCTTGTTCCTCTTCGTAATCAACATTTTCTGAGCTGTTTTCCCTATCATGTATAGCTTGATTATACCACGCGAGTTACAACCAGGCCCGACCTGAACCATTGGTGGCCACAACTGCCCCGGACTATCGTCGATGCTGTGAGTGGTCCCTCTCCGGCCCGAATACAAAACACGGGCGAACGAGGTGATGCAAGACGAAGCCACCCACTCTCGCAGCAGTGTGCGGCTGCAGTACTGTGGAAGCTGTACTAGACTTTACAATGTAGATCCAAAACTTTAACACCGAGCATAGCACCATTCAAGTGCCGTTTTGCTCCTCTGTGCAAAAGCGGAGAGGGTGCACCTGCCTATCTTTAACCACATCATGTAAATGAAAAATTTGCGGCAGTACTTCGGTCATGCCAGACATAGTTGTCGTACGTAGAACACCTTTCTGGGTCAGTAAATCTTGGTGCAATCGTTTATATACCGGGACTGATATCGCGACTTGTAGGACGTCGCCGATTGTCGCGCTATGGTCACATGATCGCTTATGCCAGCCAATGGGAGCGGGGCGCGCCCTGCAAGAGAGCCCTGCTGTGGCGACGGCATCAATAAAGGGGCACTCGAGTGGATTCCGAAATAGTTTTTTTATGGCGATAAGCCAATGATTTAGTCTGCAGGTTCTGAACATCCTAGAAAAGCCAAAATTAAAATTCATGGGTGGCCGATTTCCCTATTAAAAATCTAATCAAAGATCGTGACATGCCCTTCTCTCTGTACCTTGGAGCCGACACCAGGGGGTGCCATTGGACGGCGTTTTAAAACAATTGTATAGTGCCTCCTACACCCAAATATTCTACGCTTTTTGTCAAAACAGAATCGGTGATGCGATTGCTCTGCCATTTGCACCAAACGGCTTACCCTGCTACATCTACTTGCGCCAACATTGCGCCAAAACTTGATTTTACTTTATTAAATACTTGAAATATAATGGCCGAGGCCCCGCTACCTGTCGGACTGTTACGGTAGGCTTGTGCAAATTTTCGGAACTTTTGATCTCAACGGCAAAGAACATACTATTCTATTTCATATCTTTATCGGTGTCAAACACTGACAGTACTACTCGGAATTTTTGCAATCTCTCTATAATGTTCCTAATCTTCTCCACCACGCTCTTGCATACCGCAGTGAAGTGGTAACCGCAAAGTAAGCATCGCAATTTTGCTGATCTTGCTTCACTGCAGTGCATCCGAGTGCTAAAAGGAAAGAAAGCATTCCCTCAGATCGGGACATTAAAACATGCAAATGTTGGGTATATTAAAAAAAAAAAAAAAGGAACTTTGTGAGTGTTAATGTAAAGGGTCCGAGTTGTAAAAATTTCTGAATTATACTGTGGCTATTATTTGTGATAGACTGCGGTATTCTAGTAATATCTTTTTCAAATTAATGATTTAGCCCGCAAGTTATATGAACTGCCCCATAGGGTTATTTTTATTTGAACTCCATTGTTTAGTTGTCACCTTTATACATTTTTTATGCGTTCAAGGTACAGTCACTAGAATAAACTAAAACCAAATTAGGTAAAGCAGTAGAAGGAAGCTTGGGGAATAACCTGAACAACTTTGGCTGAATTTCTTTTAGGAAGGCATACTTATCGTGCACATGTCAATCTTTGTTACAAGGTTCTACAAACAAAATATCATTAATGTTCATAATTTATTGACAAAGGTATCTTTTTAGTCTGAATTAAAAAAAATTCCATTAAAACCTTTCAACTTAAAAATGAAGAATCAATTTGAGTGCTAAAGATTATTCTAAAATTATTTTAGTGAAATATCTTATTTAATTTACATTTTATCTTGTACCTACGAGTGACCATTCACAGCAGTCCAAGCTGCCCTTCATCGATCAACATCTTGTTGCCATGCCTAATGCTTCTACGTGCAACTAAACAGCTAGTTCTGTGTTTAAGGAAATGAAATCTGCCATTGCACAGAAGTGTGAAGGCGAAGCATGCGCGTTTTTTAACTGGATAGGCAACACAGAAATCATTCACAGTGGCATGAACAAAAATGAAGCGTGTGCTTCTGCTCCAAAAGTACTTTTTGCTGCTCCATAATTGACTTTTGGCTGCTCGAAAATCAATCGCGTCTCTGTATAATGTACTACAACGCACCTAAAGAGAGCAATATTATACTAATCTTTGGAATTTCCTCGCAATTAAGAACCATTTAGTGGCCGTAGGTTCGGGCAATCGTCTCGATGCTGGCACGTGCAAGCGCCGAAGAAAGCAGACGAACAACGTGCGAAGTTTCCGTCGTACAGCCCGCATTTATTCCCAGCGTGCTCGAGAGTCGAAATTCAACATTCATAAATATACACCTACAATTTGCGGAGAGAAGAAAAATAAAAGAAAAATAAAGAAAAGGCTCCTTCCTTGCAACGAAACGAAAGAAGAAAGGGATGCAGGGTCGAAAGAAACTCGGGAACTTCAACAACAAAGCAACGTCAAAGAAAAACGTTAACAAAAAGTGTTAAAGAACAGTCCGTACAAAATTGCAAAAAAGAAACGGGCGAGAGAGCCAGACGCAATGTTATTTTCGATCGTGTGCACATGATAAGGAACAAGGTAGTACTAGTAGCACTTTTCCACATCGTCGAAGAGAGAAGGGGGAGGCAAACATGAGAGACACAGAGAAACGTCGGATGCGTCGAGGACAATGCAAAAAACGGTACGGAACAACTCCATCAACATACCACAACAGTCTTTTTTTTTTGTCATTTCTTTTGCCCTCAACGGGAGAAGAATACTCTGCATCTGTAACGGTATTGTCGAGAGGTGCTTCGGGCTGGTGGGCGACTTTGCTCGTGTCTTCCGTCTGCCGTGAGCAAGGTGCGAGTCGTCGTCTGCAGACGACAGCGAGTTTGACGGTGTGCAAAGAATACTGGAGAAGCTCGCTGTTGGAAATACAGGCGGCAGCACGGGACAGTGCAGCAGGTGGAACTAGACCAGTAAAAATGGTTTAGCAGACGCGTCACGGAACGTCGGTTCGTGAACAATGCTCCTGGGTTAAGAAACTACTATCAATTTGGGAAAAACGTCTGGCGAGCATATTCAGTTGTGAACAGAAGAGAAACCAGAACTCACGAACGCAGTTTGCGCGTTCGACGTGCGTGTGTGGTGGACTCGCATCCCTCGTGTTGCCACCAGATGGCGCTGGCATGCGAGGCAAGAGCACTGGCAGGTTCTGGTTTTCCCCATTCACGAAAGCAGTTCCGAACGACTCGGCAGAATTTCGGGATCGCGGGCGAAAAGAAAATAAAGTCGCACCATCGTTCTACCAATGTGGCCGTGGTGTGAACAGAGAGCCCGGCTCTACAGCTGGCAACATTGGCATCCCGTCTGCCACCACTTCTCAACTGGGCATATCTGTGATGCATAGTTGAACCCAGGATTTTTGGCGCCAATTTCGCAGCAGTATTTGAGACCCTGCCGTCGTAACGTGACGCAAAGACCGAGCTCCGTCGACCGTTCGGTACAAAACGTCCGGTGCCGGAATGGCGGCGCCCCACACACACCTCGTCTGCTAGCGAGTTCGCACCAGCTCCGTGGATCTTTGCACAGCGAGCATGACAAACGCGCGAGTCTTAAAAGAAGTGACACTAACGACACTACGAAAAGAATGAGCCGGAAGGACAACGAAAACATACATTGTGACTATGCTAGCTTCAACAAGTAACATTGGTAGTCCAGTACGCAGTACATGGAATATAGAGTGGCTCCGGCAAAAAAAAAAAAAAAAAAAGAAGAAAAGGGTACAATACACAACTCGTCATAGATTGCTCTTAAAAGGGGAAGAAACTAGAAGAAAAACAAAGGGTCGTAAACTCTGTTCTCGTTCTAGCTTGCGTAATCTCTGAAACATAAAAAAAACTATTCTAACAAAAGTTCTGCGCCGCGCAAGCAAAGGCTCGTCTCTTTAGAAGCTCGGCGTGCGGCAGAGTCTTACGAACGAGCGCCCTCTCACACGTGCAATTTTTGCGAACACACCGACACGCACGCACATACACACATTAATTACTCACATACACACAGAAAGAAACAGTTTGGAGAATGAATTGCCGTATGGTATACGTCTCCCCCGTTATGAACACGGTCGGTCGAAAACATGCCACAAACCTGCAATTCCTTCATGTGCGGGGTCAACCTTCCCAAATTTACGTCGTCGCTTCATTTACGAAAACAAAACAAACATGGCACTAGCAAAAGTTACAGTCGTCCGTAGTGCAAACTAGAAGTCACCGGCAGTTGGCTCCACCTTTTGGCTGCGATACTGGCAAGGGTGCGCTACCTTATGATCGCAAGTGTGTTTATCATACTATTGGCCGTGCAACGCGAACCGGAGAAACAACCAAAAGCACTTTCCGTGGGAGTCATTCTCGCAGTCCGGGCGGAAGACGGTTCTCTCGAGTTGCGACGTGGAAAACCCGGGCACAATTCAGCCGAACAAGCTCCTAGCAGTCGACGGCCTATAGTCGACAGCGTACCCCAGGTTCGTGAACCGATTCGCCCGTCGTCAGGGCGACGTCCACACAAACGACAAATGTCTTGTGGGTTCGGACGCCCAGCGCGAACCCACATGCCAGAACTTCGAACCGGTGACGAAATATATGCCTAAAAAAGTTCTATGACTAAAAACAAAAAAAAAAAGCGAGTAAAGCGGTTGGTGCTAAAAAAAGAAACCAACAAGCAGATGTGTCAACGAAAACTGCCATGGAGCGACAGAAAAAAAATTAAACCGACAACATTCCTTTGCCTTCCAAATTTAACGGCACGACACCGCATTGAGCGGAAGAGCTCTACAATGCCTACTGCAAAGTGACACGTACAAAATAAAACTGCGAAGCAAACGTACGCCCGGCACGACGTTTGGGTGCGCAGAAAAACAAGGTTCACGGGGCCCTTCGACGATAGCTCCTAGAGATATTGATTCAGAAGAAAAAAAAAGTGGCAAGTGCAATCTAAGGGACTCTCTTAGTAACCGACAAAGTGCACGCCAGTTCGGTACAAACCCACGTAGTACAGACAGCATCGCGTCGACACGATCCCCTGCTCTCGAGCTACGCAAGCTCTGTTCCCCACTGTACTGCTCTAAACTCTATCGACGGCTCCACGCACGAGACAAAAAAGAAAGCCCGACGCGTTGCGACTGACGCCATGTCTCGAGGCATTCACAATGGGGGGCAGGATTGAGCACAAAGTTGTGAACGGTCGTCGGCGTACAAGAATTCCAATCGAAATCGGCGTTCTGTTTGGTTTATGCCGACGGGGAGGCTTTTGCTTTCCACGGTCGGATCAATAAATTGGTAGCATTTCCGATATGCACCTCAAGTGTGCCGGAAATGCATTCCCATGCAAGGTTATAACTGACGGGTATTTGCAGTTGTCTCATCAAATTAGTTTCACGGCCAATAAATTCCGATGGTCAACCCGGCAAAAGTCGGAAAAGTGATCAGAAATCGGATTTCGCTGCTTGTGGCGTTGGACGCACACTTTGATGGAGTTAACAATGACTTTAGAAACTAACCCGACGGGGAGAGGTATCTCACGGTCACGCGAAGGAAGTCTGGGGATGTCCTAGGTGCTACTCAACTCGCCCGGCTGAAATAACTGAAATGGATTCAAAGCGACCTCAGCAGCACTAAACTTGCACACCCGGACAACCTAGGAGCCTCGAGAAACGTGCAGAGAAAACAAACTGCACGCCTCCCTGTCCCACAAATTGCTGGCCCCTCAATCTCATCCGACCAGTCATTTCCACCAATCGTGAAGAAGTTTCATCTTGCCCCGCTCTTCGTACGGCTTAATCCTCGTCCCTCGTGCGAACCGACCGACCAATAGATGCGCTTCCTTTTACAAACGTTTTGCCCCCACACTTCTTTCCTTCCTCAAAGACACAACTATGGCAGGAAAGGATGCCTGTCGTCGCCCCTGTTCCACGAATCGGAAACCGCCTCCCACTGGTCGGGAACAAAACAGTTCCGACCAATGGGGATCCTTCCGTTTAAGACCGTGCATGCCCCATCCCGTTCTTCCCTGACAACACGCTGTCCGCTGCCCCCGCTCGACAAACCAGAGAGCTCAGTTCCCACGCCGCTTTCTCCGACTGGCCAGTTTGCCTCTTAAGCGCATTTCAAACGGACCAATCAGATTCGCTCGATTCGCGCTCCCTTCCCTTTATTCTTTCCTAAAAACACGAGTAAGAGTCGGAAAAACGCGCCGATCCTTGCGTCGATGGCAGACCGTTCCCTCTGACCGGTCGGTCCTCCGTCTGTGCGCTTGCCAACCAACCAATAGGACTGCCAGATTCACAGACTGTCCCATACTCTCAGAAAAAAACAAAAAAACACAATTGGGTCACGGAGACAAGCGCTGACAACGGCGGGAAGGGGCCCGACTTAGGGAAAGAATGAGGCAGAAACACCAGACTCTGGCCTCGGAACAACGTCGTCATCCGACTACGGATTTCTGGGGAATGCCCGGAAGTCTGTGGGGGGGGGGGGGGGGGGGTGGACAGCTAGGGAAAAGAGGGAAGGGGCGGCAATGAGAGAAGAGGGAAGTGTTCCGAAGCTGCCCCATCATCGCAGGTCCGAGACGTTGGCTTTGGATCCAAACGCTTGGACCATCTGCTCTTCGTACTGGTCGATGTTTCGCATCATGATTTCCTTGCAGGGCCCCAAGAGTCGCTCGAATGCAGAGACGTCCAGAACTGGAAAGACCGAAAGGAAGGCCTGGCAATGGCTTCTCTTGCAACAACTCCCACGTGTCAACAAAAACCGATCCTGGTTTAGGCCTCGCATAGGCATGTGAAGAGCTCATTCTGAGCACTACAGTTGTTAAAGCCGCAGTCATACTGTTAACGCGTCGTAGAAAAGACAGCCGGCAGACATTGAGGCGCGTTTCTTCCTGTCCTATTGGCCATACAAGAACTGCCTTTAGACATGTTTGAAGCATACATGTGCATGAAGCCAAACATACTTGGAGCGCAACCGCAGACAATTCTGCCATTGTGTCTGTGGCGAACAGCCTGTCTTTTGTATGTCTGCTTGTATGCATTAACTGGACGCTTTCCAGCTATATACTTGGAAAGCATAGATTGATTTATTTATATTTATTCAAAGTCACATATATCCAGGCTGTTTACAAGCATGTTTGAAAAAGTTTTTCCCAGACTTATTTGCCCTCTGCTCTCCCAGGACCATTAGACCTGAGAAATTATTTTGCAGGTTGATACCTGGTAAACCAGTGAGCAAATAAAAAATTAGCATTATATAACAGTTTCGAACTGGGATCACCAATAATGCATAATTTCTATTTCCCAGTGAACAAACATGTTTATAATGTTTTCAAAGTTGTAAGAATAGCCTTTGTGCGCTCTATTTGCTGAATGCTAAGAAAGACGTGTTTTGCCATAGTTTTTAATAAGCATATTGTAAAAAAAAAGTTGGGCATAAATGGCTGCCATGAAGTCGTGATATTTAAAACCGAAAGATACAGGGAAAAAAAAAGCTGATATTGTGTCTAGCTAGCACCCAAAATTACATCAGGTACCAGGATGTTGTCTAAATGAAACGAGAAACGACACATATTTTCGAGACGAGGGTGTCTTAAAGATACTAATTACTAAATGATTGTCCCCAGAATGCTGAACAGGTTGCAGAAATACCTTAATTTTTTTCACAAAGCAGATGACACGGGACAAGTACCTTATGCCTCATCACTTCAACACGGACTCTCTTAGAAACTCTTTATTTGGTACCAACAAACAGAACCGTCCATTGATGACGGCTGTAAGGTAGTGCTAATGTGCCTACATTTTTCGATAACATTTTTTAAATCTCGAAGGTGCTTCTAACACGTCTACCAACCTGCTTTGGCCTCGCAGCTGGCAGTATGTTTAAAATAAATAAATATAATAAATGCACCGCATTATCGCCCATAAATTGTGCAAAATATTTGAATTTTCAAATAGTAGTTTGGGATAAGGAGCTACTCGATATTCGCTTTGAGATGAACTGCGATATCCGTATTTTTCCAAATTTTGATCACGGCAGGTTGGCCCCGATGAGCACGCTTCGCACCGGTGCACCGCAGAGGAGCAACACCTGCGGAGCTCGCTTCTGCGGACGATGCTTCTCCAAGGTGCACACTTTGAAATGTACAATTACTGCAGTTGCATGTTTAGGAGAAAAACACTTTCAAAGCAGAATGCTGCTTGCAAGTGCTTTCTGTATTTAAAAAGAAACAGAAACTTTGTGAATGTCAATGTCAACATAGCAGCAAAATTTTCAAAATTAAACTGGCTATTATGCAAGAGCACTATATGTCAGTCGGAGATGCCCCGATGACTACCTACATTCATCATTCGTAATTTTCTCTTTTTTTTTTTTTTTTTTTTTAATTCGAGATTGAAGAAAGGGTATTTGTATAAAGCCAAATTTATAAATCCCCTCAATTGGGTACAGTTGGCACTTCTAGCGAGGTTTAATTTTACGTAAAATCCGTCATCTACCCGCCATCCTAATGTAGACATAGGACTATCTCAGGCCATAGAGCATAAATATAGCAGGATTAAACTTAACTTAGCGTGAAAATGGACAAGTGGAAGCTTGGGAACGACCTTCACGAGTTAAAAAAGGTTTCTGTTTATGAGCATGTGTACAGGTAGTGAACAGTGTTGAAAAAATATTCCATATCCGATTAGAACATGTTCGGCTAAGACCACTATTCGCTCCGAATTCACCTCAAACTCATAATCCACTACTTGCACACGCCTACCCCAGAACATCTGTGGTTCATCCATTAAACCAAGAACTGCCCGTTGTACTCAAACTGTTTTTGCAATGAGGAGACGCGTGAAAACGAAAGCGGCAGCAACTCACGGGCAAGCTTGACGGCGCCCACGGCATACACCGTGGCTGCCCGCGGCTTTTTCGTCAGTAGCGCCAGTTCTGAAAGGAAATGTGGCACACAATGTAGTCATATTATGCACAAAAATATGTTCAAAACCAGCACTAAAGTACAATATCTCTGTACACCACTCAATCGTAAGCCTGATACCGAACCACTTAGCAGGGGCAACGAGAGTGAATATGAAAAAAGCTCGAGGTACACCTAAGCATTTCTTATGAGTTGTGAATGCGAAAGCATGCAAGCCGCTCGTCCGCTCCCTTTGTCGTCTGCTTGTCCACTCCTTTTGTCGTCTGCTGCATACTAGCGCGCGCACGCTTCGGGATCTCGGAGGCCATGGTGCAGCGGCCGATGGGAGCCCTGTCGACGCGCGCCAGCCAATGGAACTGAAGGCACGCGGAAACTAGGAGCCGTTTTCGCGCTTCAAACTGATGACGTCAGCTTGCTCCATGAGACCAGTTAATGCTTTCGCATTAAAAGGTCTATAGCAAAGTAAATTTTTTTTTTTATAGAAATATACCAGTGCTGCAAGCCCGGCCGTTACGACTACACAATGTCCACATCTTTACTACATCAGATGTCAGCCTTCACTGTGAAGTCTTTATAGTGGAGCACGAAAACGAGGCAGAGATTGACCAGAGAAGGTTATTCCCCAGAGAAACGAGAAACCTTAGGTGGTTTCAGAAACTAAAAAATTCTTAAAATAGCGTGAAGGTTCAGGACTGAGGTAACCTGTCATTCTGACGCGAGATTCAAGCCAAAATTTCATCCCAAATGATGGCTTCAAACTAACTTGGTTCAAAAGTATGAGATCCTGTTGATACAAATGTGCACATGAACAAACTGTATTAAAAAAAACTTTCAGCCTTTCCACTCTGGTGAAAAAGGAAGACTAGCGAAGCTGTACTCTGGTGGAAGTGAAGTAATGGGCGGCTGCAAGCCGGCAAGCCAGAGTGGAGAGGTTGAAAAGGTTGCGCCATCTATGAGCGACAGTGGTACCTGTCCAGAGTTTCGTGTCATCATTTGTTTGCTGATGGACATGATACTGGGGGAACTAGCCATTAATAGCTCCGTTTTAAAAGACTAGCCATTAATAGCTCTGTTTTAAAAGCAAATATATAAGAATCCTGTTGACAAAAATACTCTACTCTACATGTTGAAAAAATATCCAATCTCCGTGATTCAATGTTTCACCCGTTTCTTGCACCCCCCCAAGCTTGACCCATAGATCCACCCTTACAGCAGCCCCACGCTGCTGCAAGAGCATGTGGCTTCCACTTGCATCTCATTCGCATGCATCCTTGTGCAAACAAGATGTTAAATGAAACTAGGGTTTGAGCACTGCGGAAGCTATGCTAACCTTGGAAATGTTACACAAAATAGACAATGCCAAGAATACAAGCTTGCAAACGCTGCCCACGCGTTTCAGCAGGTCACATAGAAGAACAGTGCATGCAGTTCTTCTGGGTAAACTTCTTGTATAGCCTACATGTTGATTAAAATTTAACTTGACACCCAATTGCAATCAAAGGCATCTCGCGAAGAATGGTTGTTCACTGCAAATACGTACCTCCGAAGTAGCCGCCCTTGCTGACGCGAGACACCTCCATTTCGGTGCCTCCCTGGAAAGCGAGGTGGCAAAGTGCTCAGTCACGTTGCGTATCAGAAACTACAGATGTGCAACTCAACTAAACCAAGGAGACAGACAATTGCTCAATGGGCATGCAAGCTCGGTGTCAGATTACCAAAGGTAAAAAACAAAAGTATTCTCTTTAAAGTTATTGAGTACCCAATAAAACTGTGAAAACAGTACTTCAGCCTGTAAAGTATTCAAGTAGAGTAATAAACAGTAAAAAAAAAAGTGATTCATTACTTTGAACATGCACTCAAGTTACCACCTTTCTGCAATTCAGTCGAGCAGCTAATTACAGAACAAGCGAATTTGAAAACGCCATTACCAAAAAGCCTCATTTGCTTGCACTGCCTCTGGAAATTCGAGTCCGACAGCTCGCTCCTCTCCGCACAAGCATGGTGCTATCCGAAACATCAGACTAAATGCAAGAAATTGCAAAGTGCCTAGCAGAAATAGTCGAAGTTAATTACTTTTCAAACTATTCCCGCCCCCTAGTAAAAAAAAAAAGGGCGGATGTAGCTTAAGGGGGGACGGACATGGGTCTTTGAAGCCAAAAACTGCCTAAAACTGCAGTCTTTTGAAAATGGCAATGGCTGTTGTTCTTCTGGACCTACCAGACTTCTAATTTCGTAGATGAATATTTGAGCTATAAATCAATTTATAATGTCTATGCGGGCCTATTGTGTGTTGAAGTTGACTAAAATATTGTTTTCACAAAACACAATTTTTGTAATTGTTGAAAATTTGCAGGAGGGATATCCCAGCATCTAGAGCAGATAGAAATATAACCTCTCCTGAAATGTGTAGCTAAATGTGTGAAGCATACAATGTTGAGAGCAGATTTTTTAATATAAGTCTAGAAAATTTTCTATTTGATCTTTTGTTTTATTACTTGTTAGCCATGCATTGAGCACTGAACTTCAATGTGTGGTAAAATCATTAATATTGTGTTTATCTTAAAAGTACTTCCAACATTGTATTCTCTACACTTCATAGTATCTAGCCATCTGTTAAAAAGGATATTTTGTTGAGCAGTTTTTTCCCTATCGTTCCTCCAAACAAAGGCCGGCAAGTTTTAATTATCTTGAGGACAATTCTACTGACTGAGAAAATTACCAGATATATGAAATCAGCACAAAAAACTGAACAAGCTTGTGCAATTTCATTCGGTTTAGTAATAAAATAAGAAGAAAAGCTCCAAGACCAGTGTTCCCCCTTAAGTGGATATATATTACTTGCAAAAGTAATCGGGTTACTAAATGCTGTTTTGTAAGAGTATTTCTAAAATACCAAGTTACTCCCCCAACCATTTGAAGATAGAGTAACGCGAGTAGATCATTAAAGTTACATACTACAAGTCCGATTGATTAGTTCCAACTTGGCGCAATCGAAAAATGCCCGTTGCGACAGTGCCAGCTAGGCGCAAACAACCGTGAAAGGCTGACGCACATATGCATGCCAACGCCACTAAGATTGTTAGATTCGCCGACCGTTAGTAGATTTATAAACAAGGAATCATCTGCTTCAATTAGAACTTGATCAGTGTCGCCTCTCCTAGCACCACGGTTTCTCAAGCTGGGTTTCTAGGAACCCGAAGATCTCGTAGAGTATTCCCACGAATTCCCTCGGCTCTAATATTTCCTCGGCTCCCAAATTTTAGGTTGTCCCACGGGTAAAGTATTTTCCCAGTTCGATGCACCGTTTAGTAGATCTAAGTCACTCGGTGATGCGTAACTATGATCGAAATGCTCTCTAGATGCGCATTGCTGCTTATGAGGTCTGTAGATGTCCACACCACATTAGAGCACCAATGCGGACACCAGAAAGGGTTTAGACTTCCCTTCGGGGCAGATGGGGTCCCTCAGGATCGGAAAGTTGGAGGACACCTGTCACACTTTTTTTCAATTCTTTTCGGCGTTCCCCAAAAGAAGACACCCCGGAAAGGGGGTGACTGCGTGAACTGTGAGAAAGTGAAAGAGGAGGAACACTCACATTTTTTTTAACGACTATTCTGACCATGCCATCTTCTAGAAAATACATGCCGTCCGCCTCGTCCCCCTGCAAGGAAAGATTGCAAGAGACTCTTATGAACGGGCTACGTGTTTCGCAAAAACAGGTAAAAAATGTACGAGGCACATGTCCAGGTGCATGCCACGGTCGGCAAACGACAGGCAGATGATAAGCAGACTGCTAGTTTTGGCAGAGTCTTTCAACATGCCGCCGGTCACAAAACTTCTCCATAGCGTTACGGGAGAGCTTGGTACGCGACCATGTACGGCATCGCACCGACGGCGATTGCCGTTAGAGTAAGCACCTTCGGCTCCTCAATACCGCTATCGCCGTCAAACTTCAGCATCGCAACTAGCGCCCTCGAACAGAGGCACTGCGAACTCCTAAGCTCAGTTTTCTGGCTCTTTTTCGCTCGCAAAAAACACAGTTTTTGTTTGAAAACAAACAAAATAAGCTTATGGAAGACGAAGTTAATAAACGGGCAGGCTGGTTAATGTCGCGCGTGATTCCAACCTGAAAGGTTCCAGGTGAAAATGGTCTTTACTACAAACTATGAGTTTAATAGGCCACTTTCAGGTGGACTTCGGGGTTGTTTGAGAATGCACAAGGAAAGCCCCCCTTAAGATGCCAGGTTGGTGTTGTCTACGACATTCCAGTGGCCCGTGGGTTCTCCTACGTCGGACAAACAAGGTGCCGTTTAAATGAAAGATTACTACTAGAGAACAAGAGAGATGTCAGGAATAATGCAACAAACTCTGAAATTGCGAGGCACGTAGAAGAGTGCGATAAATGGTTGCCAGTGGGGGAGGACACTATTGTGCTAAGTGGAGAGAAAAACTGAGCAAAAAGAGTTTTAAAAGAAACAGTTAGGATTGGTTCTGTGAGAAACTGTATTAGCCCCCCTTCAATCGCACTGGATGCGGCATGCGGAGGCTTTTACTTTTGTAAGTGTCGGGAAAGAAGAAAAAGAAACATTGTACAAAATCTTGATTATTTTTTTTGGTGACCTTGATACGGTTTTGTTAGAGAAGTCTGAGTCTTGTACCGTTGGATGTGTTACGGAGGGTGTAACGATGGATCTGGCAAATGTGTGCAAACTCGGTAAAGGTTGCGCGAGAGGGTGGCATATAAAACATAATGTGTGAATAAAATCTATTCAGCCAAGTTTGAGATGCCTGTGTTTGTCCATTGTCATTTCTCGTCTCCGGTTAGAATCATGCGTAAAAGAAACTTATTTAAAAGTTCTGTAATCAGATATCAATAAAGAATGACCGGCACTTGCATACAGTGATCAATCACAGATGTGAAAGAAACGTCGATGTACAAGAAATACTTATATATATATATATTTTTTTTTTTTAATACTAGTAATTGCGAAGTCGGAGTGGCTCACTGAGGGTGGGGTGACCAATAGAGAATGCCTCCTCCGGAACTGTGGTGCTCCTAGAAACAGTGTTTGATCCTGTACCAAACTTTGGATAAAGTTTCGTGACCAGTAGCATATTGAAGTACTCTGGTCCAGGGATGAGCAAAAGCAACAATTCAGACTTTGTGCAACATGGCCCCCCTCCCCTTCCCTCCCCCTCCCCTCTCCCCTTCCCCCTTCCACCCCCAAAAAAAAGGAAACCGAAGGTACACAAATTTACGAACCATATGTTACTTGATACCTAGACTGGCTTCAATACTGTACTCCCGGACAACTTTCCATAGCCATGCACGTAAATTTTATGGGTGCACATGTGCTTGGACACTTTGAGCACAGATCAAAACTGTGCGTGCGGTCTCTTTGTTTCTGAAATGCTACAGAAAGTTTTCCTCGAACAGAGGCTCATTCGATTTGCATGCACCTCTCGCACCAGCTACGCTCGCCACGCTGAACCCCGTTTGATTTGTGAGCGTAGTTTGTCTTGAAGCACATACAGGAAGTACACTGCCCTGAACTTTTCCACACCAGTTCAGGTGAATCGAGCAAACCCATTGTAAGCTGTTATACAATGCCTGCATGTGCAATTCAACAGTTGCAATGAACTGCATATGCAGATATTGAACGAAGAAAAAAATCTTAACATCCACCTTAACGCATAACTAGAGGTGTTGACCAGCAGCTCACAACCCATGTTTGCCCAAACCACCTCGCAGACAAATACCAAATTACGAATAAGAGGTCGACAAATCTGAGAAAGCGGCTTGTGAATAGTATACCTGTTTGATGATGAGCTCTCCGTCCGCAAAAGACCTTGGCGTGAGTGCGTCGGCTAGGTTCATGCGTTCGTAGTGCTGCGAGTGAAGTGAAAACATGTTGGTGAGACGACGACCGTGCTCACATGCGACGGTCGTAGTAACGCAGTGCAAGCTTTCCTATATTAATGGGTGACCATACTGTGCCACTGTTGCTATTTGTATGCATCGGTCAACTCAAGTACCATTCTGTCATAAATGTTTCATCAACTGATGGGCGTGTTGGCAAAAGTCAGGAAACAGAAGAAAAAATAAACGCAAAACACAAGGTTTTACAGGATCATTATAATTATTTTTTGCATGGTTCAATAAAGGAACATGCATATAATTAGTTTGCATTTGAGTGCAAACTAATTCCTTGCACTTGGGCAAATTCATTAGGATGACAATTGTGCTGTCAACTGTGACGAACGTAACGCATTCTTTAGGATTTCGACACAATACTCCAGCCAAAATGAGTCATTACACCTTGAACCACTTATCATGATAAGCAGTTCATCAGTGCCAATATCTCCCTCATTTGTCATATATAATAAAGAAATAGCATAATGATCTCATTTATAATAACATCACATACTGTGATAACCCACCTATAATCAACAACCTCACTTACTATGTATAACAAAGCCAGTTATAGTAACTCCACTCACTAAACAAATCCACTCTTTATAGTCAAATCGTTCTTACAAAAAAAAAAAAAATTGAATAAATGTGGTATTTTAGTCCCATGTTCCAGGAACAAAAAAACAACTGCCAGATGGCCAGAAAAACATGCTTTTCCTAATAAGCTGCTAAAAGTATTAAGCACTGGAGAAAATTGGTGATCCAAGTTAAAGGCCGACCTACAGAATCATCTTCTGAGAGGCAGGAAACAGGTTCCCAGTTTACTTCTCTCTCTCCCCTCTTGCACTCTTCTCTCCTCCTTTCCCCACAGGAGTGGGTCTTTAAATCCTTATTTTTCATTCTCTTTGTTCAAGTTCCGGCCATTAAAGAACACGACGAAAAAGCCCAAATACACACCCGATCTCGCCACTCCAACTCCTGCTTCCACGCAATAAAGTTTTAAATAAGGACTTGACGCAAATGGACGATTTTTCTCCAGCACCTAATATTACGACGGGCCTTACACGAAAAGTAGATGTATTTTTAGCTCCCAATTTAGACAAAAACTTCTGTACTGCAGCATGGGGCTAGACTACCGATGTGCCACTCACCTTACATAAATGCTAGTTCTGTCTCAAAGAACCTCTAATGGCACAGAACCACTCCTGCAAAACTTCAGCTCGTTATGCTATGTGGGTCGTACCATGTCAAGAGATGTAAAATTTCTTCAGTTAAAGTTGCGCTCAGAGTGTCGACAATCTGCCTACCGACTGCCTTACGAGTGCCGCCATTTCGTGTCCTAGCGCAACAAGAGCAAAATTGACGATAGGAACAATTCGAAAACGCAGTTTTCCGAGCTTTACGTACAATGTCAGAAAGCGCCAGCAACATCGTTTCGCTCCATTCCGGACCGTTCCGACGTTTCCAGAGGACGATAAAGTGTCTCCCGCGACTTCAGACAAAGCTTCAGACATCCCGCCACGCAGATTCCAAAGCGGCAAGATTTCCAAAGTGCCGTTCCTTCGAAGCATAGCTTATTCGGCGACAAGCTTCGGCAACCGTATGGTGCCCGGAATGCGTCTGCCGGAGAGAACGACCTGTGGAATGGGCGTCTGCGGGATCCGCCGCCGAGTCGTAACGGCATCGTGCGACGGCCCGATGCCTTTACTATGTCGCCGGGTGGAAGTTGGGAGACCACGCTTGAGGACACGGCGGGCGTGCGAGCCAGAGACGCGTTCTGGGTCGCCGTGGCGACTCGCGGGAACGACGGGTGCAACGCTTACGTTGAGCGACTTGAGCATGGGCACACGCTCCAGGAGGGTCTCGTACTCCTTCCTCTTCTTGAAGGCGCTCTTGAGGACGATGCGCCGGAAGGTTTGCCGGTTCTGAAAAAGAGGGAACCAGGGAGGACCGCATCACTTCGACGCCATGCCAGAACAAACATGAAACGCCCGGTTGTTCTTTGCCACTGAGGTTGCGCAGCCGCTGAAGTAGACTTCTCGTTTTGAGCGTCCAGGTCCGTCGCACTCTGCTAAAGGACGTTCGGCGCTTGGAAATGTTGTGCCGCTAGAGAAAAGAGATACTAAAACATGGTGCCCCGAGGCTTCCCTTTTTTCATTCCCTATCTGGAGAGTGGACCTCTACTTTTGAAAGAAGAACAATGGGATCCACAAAGAATTCTTTTTCAAAGTTCTTCCCTTCATCTTTTACTGATTTCATTCTTTGTCTGGACTCCCAAGTTTGAGATAGACAGTGCCGTAGCGTGTAAAGAAGTTGTTTTCCCCATACGTCTTAAATGAAAATTTTTGTACTAGTAGAAGAGATGGTAGCAGCACAAAGCTTTTTGTGGGAGGAAGATGTCTCAGGGACCTCAAATAAGCGGCAAGTGGGGAAACGAGTAAGGCCTTGTTGGCAAGAAACAAAGTTTTTAAGGCACTCCTTCGATCTCCTGCCAGATATCCGGTGTGCAGAATTCATTAGCGATATACATATATGCAAATCTGGGCAGCACAACAGCATGACATTATAGACGTGCATGACGTAACAATGTCAAGGTGTGGTCATGTTACATCATGTCAGATGACACTGTGTCACGTGACGTCACATGATGTGATGTTACGCCACAACTTAACATAGAACGCTACTACACCTAATAACGTTGGGAATCTGATAACAAAATAAAAATTACACGCACAATCATTCGAACAAACGCAATGAAATATGGTAGCTTTACAGGAACATCGTTAGTGAAAACAATTACGAAGAATGGTACGGTGATTAAGTGGTGTTATATGCCTTGCACATCGAGGACAATGTCAAGGACGGCATCTAGAACGATGTTGAGGACGACCTCTAGAACAAACTCAAGGACGGTGTTGAGGACGACCTCAAGAAAGTCTACGACGACGTCCAGGACGACCTCCAAGTTGTGAAAGACGACGTCTAGGACAATGTCAGAGACGGAATCTAGGACCATATTGAGGACAACCTTTAAGGACACCGTCAAGAACGACATCTAGAATGAACTCAAGGACGACCTCAAGGACGACAGGTCACGTCAGCTTCAGCTACCGGCACTCATGCGAACGTAGCTTATGCTACTGGCACTTATGTGACCTTGAACTGCAGTCAGGGGCATTACGTGATTTTGTACGAGACCTTGCACTTCAGCCACGGATGGTACGTGACCTTGAGGACGTGAACTTGAGCGTGGCTGGGCCTATAAAGCTACCGCTTTAAATAATAAACTTTGCTGACATGTCGCATGACACCAAGACTGCACCACGGGTCACGTGGCCTGATGCCCGTCACATGGTGACATGACCATCTGACCCGTAGTGGCGCCATCCATATGACCAATGGCGTCGCACTGGATTTAGCAGAATGTTAGCCCCCTAAATTTAGTTGTTGACAGCCCTGCCTACGAAGACAGTGGCTATGACGACGATTACACAAATCCTAGCTTCGCTTTCGTTAAAGCGGAGCTCCGCCAAAATTTTGGTGGTAACTGATCTGCCTCAAAATTTGTTCAACACACTAATAGACAGATCTGAACTAGTGATGAAGATCCGGGAAGTTCTACTGGCAGCGCTGAAAACGTGGCGTCAGATGTTGTATTACGGGCCATATGGGGGCAGTGTATCTCGTTTCAGACAGGTTTCAAGAAGTTAGATGGTGCGAAATGAATGCTGGCTAAGCCTAGCAAAACAAAACAAAAAAAAAAGACGCGAAAAATACTGTCGTTTTTTTTCCTAGGCTGCCAGCTTGACTTGCAAGTTACACAACAGATGATGTCGTCCCACTGGAAAACGCAAGAACATGGGAACATTGGTTCTGGCATCACCTTCATTTGCTGTTTTCTCGGTAGCTATATTGAATTTAGAAATGATAAATAACACGCTGAAAGTATGTTTAGTTTGGATATTTGAAAAAAAAGAATGCCAGCTTTCAAGTGCATTAATCTGTACTGAATCTTTCAATCTTCTCGTGCCAATGGGAGTTCCGCTCGTTAAAGTCTCACTCACCATCGCCCAGAGGGATCCCTCGCTGACCGCAGTGATGGTGGCCGCTCGTGGCATGTTGTACATGAGGGCAAGCTCCCCGAAGCTGCCAGAGTTCTCGTACTTGCCGACCAGCTTGTTCTTCTCCGTGTCCGTCGACACAAAGATGTTGTACGTGCCGCTGCGAAAACGCGAGAACGCAAACCAGAGTGAGAAAATCCAGACGCCACACGCGATGCCGAGCACACTGCAACGTTTTGCCACGCGATTGGTTTGCTCTTGATCGTACGAGTCTTGTCGACGGGGTTGCACAATCAACAGCTTCGGTAACTTTTATACGGGACATTGAAACACTACTAGACGCAACCAAAGAGGGAGTGAAAAGCGTCTAGGCCAGAAAGATCCAAAAGAGTGACAGTCCTTCTCGTTTCAAGTTTGAAAGGTGAGAGTCGAAGGGGGAAGGACCAGCTTCTATCATAATATCCCAAGAGATACCCCACCTCTGGAAGGTAACCCACCCCTAATTTTGGCATAATTCTCTTCTTTTTTTTTTAAACATTGAAAGATAGTTTATTTTTAGTAATTGCAGAACCCTGGCCAATGGTGACCTTGGCAGAAATGGTGCTACTTAGTCACAGCAACAGATAAGCAAACACTGCTGACTGGGAGGGTCTTTGGTTCATCGGGGCGATGAAGCAAAGGCAACTGCCCTTCCCAGCCACAAGTTTTGTGGGTCACAAAACCTAAAACTAGCATTTTCTCTACTTCTTTTTAATTCCACACTGAAAGTTATCTCACTCCTCATTTTCACCCGATTTGCTATTGATTTTGGGTGGGCTACATCTCTCGAGATATTACGGTAAGCACTTACTTTAATACTTGTTCAATTGCTATTAAATATGGCTTGGGAAGGTCAACTTTAGAACCCTTCGCTCACATTGAATACAAATTTCAGGGTGAACCTATCAGGAATGACGAGATCCAAAGTTTCAGCCTTATAGGCCAATTCCACAACATGTAATGCTTATCAAGGTAAAAGAAAAAGTAACTTTGTTAGGAAATGCAGAAAAACAAAAGAATTGCAATCCACAAAACTTTGTTTTATTGTGAAATAGAATACCTATAGTGCAAGCTAAAGTAAAATTTAATTGTACCACATGCGATTCTAAAGAAAAACGATATACCATAAAAGAACACCAAATTTTAACAAATTTTTTGTTTTAAAATAATGTTCTTATTATTACGGAGGGAGTTTTTCCATATTATGAGTACCTCAACTCGTTCCTCGCGAAAATTACAGTTCAGGACACCCCTGAATGTATTCTTCACAATTTTAAAATGTCAAATAATACATTTCTTCAAAAAACATTTCTGCCAAATAAGTGACTACTGGGAAAGGCTTCTCTATCCTTTTAATGAGTTCCAGGAACACAAGACCCACCTGGAGCATAGGATTTCATTCTTGAGACTTTGTTACCCCCCTGGCAATAGCTGCCAGCTTCCGTCATTTGCAGTGAGCTAACGTGAGCTACCGAGAATTAAAAGGTGAATGATACTAAAAAAGAATGGCAAAGCATACTCCGTTTTAGGGCTGCGGCCCCCGCGACGCAATAAGAGTGTCAGAGCAAGGCACGTAATAACACTCCATGGCCGAGGCCACAGAGGCCTCGTTACTGCCACAACAGCAGCGCCATCTGCGACAAAAAGTAGTTCTGGGCTCCTTTTTCTTTTAACGGCAATTGAACTCGCACAATTCCATTTCTATTGAGATTGCATAAAAAATTAGGAATAAATACTTATGAATTTACGAGTTTCGCATATATTTAAACCAAAAGAGTGATGCCATATCCGTATCCATTGCAGATTTAATTCTCCCCGTAGCGCCGTGGCCGTAGCCGATCGCAACCGTGTAAACGACCAGTTCAGCTCATAACACGACACTGGGCCCTGGAATTGGCACCCGCCACAGATTCGCGGGTAAGTTGAGCGTATGATTGTGTCATGAACTGGCTCCAAAAGAGCTTGCTATTCTAGCGGACGGAAATGTTAAGGTGGTGGACATTCATCCGAAGTTGGTTTGTTTCGCTGCAGGCGACTCTTGGCCAGCAGACAACAGCAGGTTTCTCCAGGACTCGCATTTGGTGCAGTGACACATACACTCCGTGACATGGTGTCACATGCGTCGCTTCGATGCTCTTAGTGGATCGAGGCGGTCGTAGCCTCAACAGTTTGCCAAGTTATAGTGAAACAGAGTATAGCAATACGATCCAAAGTGGAAGATACTGTCAAAAGGGCGCTGCTGAAGACAACAGAATTTTCTATCACCAGGCAGAACCAACTGGAAGCCGTGTTTTGGGCCTTAACCATACCATATTTTTCATATTGAATGGTTGAGTATACTGCTCATACCATATTTTTCTCATTTCGTCCGTTACAATGTATGGGGTTCTCATGGCCAACGATACTCTTAAACTTGAGCAGCTTCCACAGACTAAATCTGGAGTAAAGCGGGCTTTCACTGAGGGTGCGATATCCTGGCTAAGCTCACCAAACAACTTTAATTTAAAAAATGTAAAAATTTGCTCCCAGGTGACTTAAAAGGCCGCCACCACGTCGAAAACAAAGTTTTTGTGAGACAAACCTAGCATGTTTATAAATGACGAAAAAATAGTCAGAGTGCAGGCGAGCTGGTGTAAGTTGAACATGATTGTAAACCTGAGACTGGGGCAGGAAGAGAACACAACAGAAGGTAGTAAAAGAGGAGGCAACGTCTCAACATGATTGTAAACCTGAGACTGGGGCAGGAAGAGAACACAACAGAAGGTAGTAAAAGAGGAGGCAACGTCTCAACGTTGCCTCCTCTTTTACTACCTTCTGTTGTGTTCTCTTCCTGCCCCAGTCTCAGGTTTACAATCATGTTCTTTTTTATAAATGACGGTTTATGAAAACATTCTTTGGCAGTTAATAAACACGACTACAACATTTTTCAAAAAAGTCTAGAAGATTTGGGCGAGTTAGGGGCTGCCCACACAGGACACAACCGGACGCAATTTTTCGGCACGACTAAAAAATTTTGTCCGCTTCGGTGCACGGACACCATTTCAGAAAGGACATGAACCGTACTGCCGAACGTGATACAGCACGACTCCTCCTCGCTGGCGTCTCCTCCCCTTTCTTGGTTTTGGAAAGTTCGGGAGGGACTACACAATGGAGGCCTTGACTGACAGACCATAAAGGCTGTGAGTTGCAGCATCCTGGGACCTACGTCATGAGCACAATCCAAGGACGCAAGAAGAGGGTCGTTTTCCCGTCTGACAACAATCGTTTCAAAGTGAATCAAAAGCGGAGGAAACACGTCCGTTGGGCAAAAGTCGTGTACTACAGGAGTCAAAGTGAATCGTATCGGGCGTGGACAGCCCTCCAAACAAAGCTTCGTACCCACAAACTAAAATTACTTTATTTTTTGTGCAAAATCAGCTTCCTTTTACCCATAACATTAAATGCTCAGAAACACAAAAGAACAGTTATCTCTGTCTTCCGAGACCACAAAAAAAAAACTATACCTAAACTGTGTCACCACACTGGCTGGAAGTATAGGCAGAACTACAAGTAGGATTACAAGTACACAGGCAACCTTTATTCCTTTAACATGCTCCAGCAAGCAAGCAGTACCGGAATATTTTTTTCGCTAGCTTTATCTCGCTGCACACTCGCGTCATGACCAGTCTTCAATATACTCACTTTTGGATGACATAGAAGTTGTCTCCGTCATCTCCCTGTTTGATCACCGTCTCTCCCGCCTTCACCTGCCGAAAACATGGCATCAGTGAAGCTTCGCCCAACCGTCTAGCTGCAGTACATCTCATTCACAGCCAACTATCACTCGATGCTACAAAGCGCCACATTATCCAGGTTTTCCTTATTGACTCCACCGTGAGAAATGATACTTAAAGCATGCGCAGATAAGAAGAGTTGTAGAGCTATCCAACAGATGGCGCCAGTGTGTGATCTTGTCGTAAGCAAATGCAAGCGGTTTTAATACGGAAGATCACGGTCAACTGCAAATGTGCGAACCAGCCTTTCCTGATGGAAATGTGTCGGAATGCATATGCCCCAACTACTCGTAGGCTTAAGTGAACCCTTGTTTAAGAGACAAGAAAGGTGCAGAACAACGTGAATTCTACTTTCTCGATTGCTGTACACATGAATAGATGGGTGGATGGGATAAGAGATGGAAAGATATTAACGGCAATACCCTTTCTGACAGGCGGTAGATTGCGCCACCTAGCCAAGATATGTCGAACGAATAAGGTGACAACACACAGTCACAGAAAAGTGGCTCTCTGCCAGACTTACCTTTCGTTCAAACATAGCATCTATGACTTCTTTCATCTGAAGCTGCAAAAAGAGAAAAAAAAATGGGAGGCCCCGATATTAGGTGCGTGCTCTCTGGGGAAGCCACTGCGCTCAAAGATGCTAAGACAAGACGGGAGTGGAGCGTGGCAAAAAGCAAGTATTGACATTGGTTCTGTTTTCTGCGCAGCCCCCTCCCTCCACAAACAACTATCATATCCTGTGCGACAGCGCAGCCGTCGTTGCAGCTCTCGCCAGAGGCCATGGCCTTTAGTCTTTGGCGAACTTGCCACGGCGGCGACTTTGTGACTGAGCAATGAAGCTAGACCTTCGTGCGAGATGGATACCGACAGCAGCGAATCTGGCAGACGACCCGTTCCACCTTCCTCCACCGCACTAATACTCGAGGAGGTGGGGCGGGCCACCGCTAGAGAGCATCTTCCGCCGTTTTGAAGAAGCCAAAATGCGTGCAAATGTTGCCGACCTTTTCTTCTGTGGTCCATGACGGGTTAGGAACCCAATAGATGCTACGCCCTACGCAGGAGTTTTCTGCCTTTGATAACACTCAGTGGCACGAATGGCCAAAGCCCGGTGGAATTGGCTATGAGCGAGTGCTGGAGGGGGAGCTTCTACTGCATTCTTAGCCCGTTGCCAACTATGTTAATTTGCCGAGTTTGTTTTACGTCCACCTCCTTCACCAGCTGCACTGGGTGCACACTGTCGTATTCCCATCTACGAGCGCCGCCCATCTTAAAGGGGCCATGAAATGATCTTTTAACTTCTTCCTCCTTAACCTTAATCCTCAACTCAAACGCAACGACAATAAGCTCCCACCGTGCTTTGCAAGCGCACACATCATAAAACTTGTCATTCATAAGTCACAATGGGCACTATCACAACACCCATTTACCATGTATGCAAATCCAGATATTCGTCGAGAAATCAATCGTTGACGAACGCATACGTCCGAGCGACGTGGTACATCTACAGAGTATTCGCAGAAAGTTTCATGTTTACACGGAATAGTTATTTTTTTATAAATTATTTTCGGTCCGCTGATCCTCAAGAAAAGGTGGAGGTTCGAGCACTTTGAAGACGTGTTTCTCCATTCCGCTTTTTGCAAAAATTTCACTTTAGGAAAACTATCGTTTGGTATTGGGACAAAACGAGAGGCTCACTCATTGTTTCATTTGTGACATTTAATGGGAAATGCAGCTGTGGTATTGTTTGTTTACTTTGTGGATGTCTTTTATAAAAGATGTTAAGATTTCGTCAACAAGATAAAAGGCAAGAAATTTATTTGATTTCTCAGTGCGATGTTAGCATAAAATGAATCACTTCTTGGAAACTTCTCTTTCACAGCAGCACTCTCCAGGCATTTTAGTGGAGAAAAATGTTGGGTATTACATTAGTTTTTTAACGATAGTTTTCCTAAACAATGTCAGTGTGTTTCTGATAAAAACAACTATAATCTCTTTCACACTTCATGTACAAAGAGGGCACTTTGCACTGCATTCTACCTTGTAACTGCCAGTATATACTGTGAATTTCATTTTTATTAAGCCGAAGGTTAAAAAGTTGACCCTTTGGGGTAGTGTACTCCCTTAAAGCATATGCCGGATGCACTATCGCAAACAATATAAGCTGACACAGCCCTTTGTGCCCCTTTGACAGACCAGCCAGTTTTTTTTTTTTTAGAATTGCAGCTTGAACCAGCGAATGGAATGCGAAGTATATTTCAGACTGACAAACTGAGAGATAATAGAGCTTGTGGAGACAGCAGATGCAGAGAAGGGACCGGTCGAGCGCTTCGGCTCCTATTGTCTGTACAGCTCAACCCGGGTAAAGAGGTAATAACTCCTCATCGAATGCAACCTCTTCTTGCTTTAGGGGCCCCACCTTGACTCGCAAAAGTTACAAAGCCTGAACCACATGTTTTGTGCGAGAGGCATACTAACGGGTCGTCGAGTCGACCTAGCGCTAAACAAACTGAAGATAGCATAGCTTGGAAAATGAGCCAAGAAGTTGGGAGGTGCAGGTGGAGGTTAGTGGTCGAGGAGGTGGAGTAAACTCCTTGCCCTACTGCGTACACCCTCCTGCACCGCACTACACTCTCCTGCACTGGTGTAGGCCGCTGCAGGTACATCATACGAGTCCATCATGTGAACTTTACGCTACAAAGTGACGAAGAGGTTGCATGCCAACTCACCCCATCGAGTGACTTGAAGAGTAGGATGTTGCGTACTGCCTGGCTCAGCCGCTCCCGCTGTTCGTCCGACTTGGGGTGGACCACCTGCGTTTCGGCACAACCAGAACACTTTGGCAGATCCACTCCTCACTACTCCAGGTTGCATCTCCCGTTTTCTCCGAAAACCGGAATACCCGCGTTTGAGCAAAATGTAATATTTTTTGGACTATAGCCTGTGGAATATACTTGTTAAAAAGTTCAAACTTAACGTGATCAGGACTAGCTACAGATGCAGCCTATACGAGAATATTCTTTTTTCAGGATTGTTTTGTTATGGTGAGACGTGACAGGCTTCGTGAATGAAGAGAAGCTACGTTGTGTGCTAATAAAGCAAACGTTTTTCCAATGCGTGCCGTGTAAAAAATGTTTATGTGCAGACTAACTCAGGCTTTCCATTTTTTTGCAAAAATCTGTTACCATGTGTATCAGTGACTAGGACACAGTACCATCATGGCGAGCAGTCGAACAAGTCACTTTATCCTCTTCTCCAACTAGTCTATGTACATGCCCCTCGTGCCGGTATATCCCGATCAGAGGTCGGCATTTTAGGTCGCCCTCACTCACCCTCACCCTCACAGCCGCACTCACCTAAGCCCCTCACTCACCCTCACCCTTACAGCTACACTCACGTTCAGCCCCTCACTCACCCTCACCCTCACAGTCACACTCACCTTCAGCCCTTCACTCACCCTCACTGAACCTCACGGCCCTCACGCACTCACCGCCCTCACGGCCCTCACGGCCCTCACGCCCCTCACGGCCCTCACGCCCCTCACTCACTCATGACCCTCACGCCACTCACCGCCCTCACGGCCCTCACCGCCCTCACGGCCCTCACGCACTCATAGCCCTCACCGTCCTCACGGCCCTCAAGCACTCATAGCCCTCACGCCACTCACCGCCCTCACGTCCCTCACCGCCCTCACGGACCTCACCGCCCTCACGGACCTCACCGCCCTCACGGCCCTCACGCCACTCACTGCCCTCTCGCCACTCACTGCCCTCTCGCCACTCACCACCCTCACGCCACTCACCTCCCTCACGCCACTCACGCACTCATGGCCCTCACGCCACTCAGGCCAGCTTCAGATGGGGCAATTTCGGCCAGAAACTTTACGTCGCAACACCAGCAACACGCGCCGCCCGCGATCACACGCAGCAACCAATTGCCGCAATTTGCCATCGTCATCATAAAATTTTATTTTTCTTGCACTATTTAGACACAATTACGCATTATAAACGGGTTTTTATGCATTTAAATCGCGTTAAGAATACTAATGCACCTTTTTTAAACAGTTTATTTCCAAAAAACGATCGATTTCAAACGAGAACCAAGTCTTTCGGTGTCATCATCACCGGCACGAGATATCACGTGAAAATTTTGCGTCCCTGATTAGATGCAGCCGCTTCAAACCTATTCGAATTGCTCCGAGTTGCTTGCTAATTTCGAGCCGGACCCGATCTCAGCAATTCGTGTCGATCTAGGGAAAGCTAGAGAACAACCCGCCATTAACACCAAAATTGCTGAGAAAGATGCTCGATCTGAAGGGGGCCTCACGCACTCACCGTTCTCACGGCCCTCACACCACCTCATGCACTCACCGCCCTCACGGCCCTCACGCCTCTCATGCCACTCACTGCCCTCACGCCACTCATGGCCCTCACGCACTCACCGCCCTCACACCACTCACGCACTCATGGCCCTCACGCCACTCACCGCCCTCACGCCCCTCACGCACTCATGGCCCTCATACCCCTTACCGCCCTCACCGTCCTCATGGCCCTCACCGCCCTCACGGCCCTCACCGCCCTCACGGCCCTCACCGCCCTCACAGCCCTCACGGCCCTCACTCACCCTCACACTCATGAATTTTCCTGGTTCAGAAACTCACTCACCCTCACCTCACCTGTGAAGATGAGGGTGAGTGAGGGTGAGTGAGGGCCCTCATGAGTGAGGTTTGCCGAGGTATGATCCCGATACACCCCCCTTCTTTACCGAGAGAGTGGGAATGTCAGACTTGCGGACTCAGGGAATCTGCATAAAGTTTCCCTGAGTCCGCTCAATCCCACTTCTGACACCATGTATCAGCAACTAGGACACAGTACCATCATGGCGAGCAGTGGAACAAGTCACTTTATCCTCTCCTCCTACTAGTCTATGTACATGCCCCTCGTGCCGGTATATCCCGATACACCGTAGAGTATACGCCGGGCACGGACTAGTTTGGAAAATATGGTATATCCCAGTGTGCGTCTTTTCAGGAAATCTTTCTTGGCTCAAACACAAATTAAACACTCGTACGCCACATTCTGATTAAAGTGAATTGAAAAATTACACTAACATCAACATTAGACCATTTCTAAGGTAGGGCTTAAGGAATCCCCACTGGGCCTATCTCGGTGAATAGAACAAAGAAATACCGGGTGTTTGAGATAAAAGATTACAATTTTTTCTCGTCGTAAAAATAAATATGTCGCCAAATGTTCAGCCTCTGCAATTTTCGCCGAGGAAATGGTTGCACACGGAGCCGGCAAATCCATGAAAACAAGTGGAGCCTGTTACCGGGAATGGGCCCTGTTATCTCATTAAAAATTTAAGAAAAAACGCTCAAATAATTTTTTGGATGGTAAGTTCTAAAACTTTACCATGTGGTCCAAACCAAAAAAAAAACATTTGCACAGAGACTGCGCTCTGCGACGAATTGTTCATTGCTATTGCGGCGAGTAAAACACTGTTTTCTTTTCTTCCAGCCACAAGCGGTACATCTGTCCGGTCTATTTTTAATATTTTTGTAATCCCAATTAGGATGAGACACTGCTCATGGAGGCAAAAATATACTAAAAAACACATTTTTGAAGTTGTGTTTTTCAAAGATTGGCAGGCACTTATCTTGTCCCAAAGGATTTTCGTTAAATATGTCTCTTATCTTGAGATATTGTCTAGGAAACATAGTAAAATGAGTCTGTGGATGTTTTCTTTTTTTATATATACTATTTCACAGTGAACTATTTACATGGCCATTACTCCACTTGCACATTATTTAATCTTCATTTTTTTTTTTCTGGTAGGTGTATGTGTGATATATGCATTAGGGGGTACAAATATATTAAATAGGGTATCAGGCTTTTTTTAGGTGACTTATAGGCATCCTGCAATAAACAATTTTGAAACTGGAAAGTTTAAAAGTGTCCTAAAAGACTTTTAACATGTCGAAATGCGAAGGCATTCGTATACGTAGCATATTCCTCCAAGCTGCGCGCCGCACTGAGCCCGGCCGGGTGACCTTTGTAGATACTGCCCGCCCACCTCCTCCCTCTTACCGGCGGCCGCGCCGCTGCGCCATGGCAGTGGAGTGGCGTTCATTGGAACTAAGCTGCGCACCAGCCAATGGGAGTCTATCCATCAACTCACTGCTTCAGATTACAGGCTTTGCTCCGTCGGACAGGGAAATTTAGGTACCCTTTCGCGCAGCTTCAAAACCTGATAACGCCGGCTCGCTCCACTGGACCCCCCCCCCCCCTCCCCCCCCCCCCAGTTTATGCTTTTGCATTAAAAACTTTCTAAAACATCCAAAAGCTTTCACTTATGCCTTATTGGACTCCACATACCTTTTAGTTTACTGATATATGTTTATTTTTTTATTTCAGTATTTCAATTTGTCTTACTCCTTCCCATAATCTTTGCCAATGAAATTTTAAATATTAACAAAGAAAATCAAATTGCATCAAACCCAAGTACTACATATTTGTAGTCGAAGTGTAACGGCAAATAAGCTATGTAGATTTCATTTGAATTGAATCACATTATCTAAAAACTCTCTAGAAGCATTGTTGCCCCATAAACAACTTCGAAAAGTTTCTTACTTTAGCGACAAACACCGCTCCTAACTGCAACAGCATGTTCCCATTTCAAGGAGTTTTAGAGGCCCCATTTTAGGTATCATAGGAATAGATTATAGAACTGAGTTTGAGTTTTCTGGTGGTTTCAGGTTCTCTACATATAACTCAAGTGGAATGCATATTTCCTATGTGACAATATTTCAACAAAATAAATTGTATGTACTATGATGAAATCTGCTCGATTTGGTTCTCCAATCCTCTGTGCCACGTGGTACCTTGGCACGACTACAAAACAAAACCAAAACCGTAAAAGAATGGCCGAGATTGGGAATACTTCGGGACATTTTGGTCCGAGAGCCAGGAGGATGAATAGCAGACAGCACTTAACTCTTTCTGCAAAAGTGCTGAATAACTGTATTTATTGTTTTACTGTGCACTGAACAATAGTGCAACTCTTGCTGCACTTATTACTAACAAAAGATATTGAAATGCAAATGCTACACCCAGAAACGTGATACTATTACCACAGGACCAGAAAGAACAAAAAATTTAACGTTATCACCAATTACATAATAACACTAGTATGTTCCTAACAATCGGAAGGATCTGCGTGCTGGATATCAACGCCAAGCAACTCCCCCCCCCTCCCCCCCCTCCCCCCCCTCCCTCCCCCCCCCCCCTCCCCTCCCCTCCCCTCCCCTCCCCTCCCCCTCCCCCCCCCCCCCCCCCCCCCCCAGTTTGATTGAAATGCTTCTCAGTTCTTTGTGCAAATGACATCCTGCCAACAGCACCTTATAGAATGAGAGGCAATGACAGGGATCTACGGCGGCAATACAACAGTTCACAGACAAGACAATCGAAATGCCATCGTAGCAGGAGCGCATGCACCACGACGAGATGACGAGAAACTCAGATACTGGAAAGTCCGCGTGGCACAAGGGCCATGCCAACTTTTCCTTAGGGTTGGACCTTGACCGTGACAGCTCGTGTTTGTTATTCGGAGACGACAAATGCCACTGGAAAGTGGCCAATGCCACGCCTCTGACGAGCTTCTCATTTATAGCCACGCAATGGCACGAAGTAAAATTCCCAACAAAGCCCAGAGGCTTCAACTAAATGAAGAGGGTGACTGGGAATGGAGAGACGGAGAGACGAGGTTGACATCGGACGGCTACACGGCGTCGAGGAGCAGCTTTCGAGCCGTTCAGCGCACGAGATGTAGGAAGAAGGCTGCACTCATCTAAAAAGTACACTGCTGTCCCGAACGATGCTTGCACCGTAGCAGAAGCATGTGTGCTTGGCAGGGAAGCCGAATGCCCGGAGCTCGCTCTCATCGCTTCTGCTACGCTCACATTTAAAAGTGAAATGGAACAGTAGCGTCTGTCAGAGTCCCCAATTGAACTACGCTTTGGAGCGACGATGATTCAGGCATCGTGACATCTGAAATCAGTGTTGTCAGTTATCCGAAGCCTTATCTGAAACTGCAAAAAACGCTTTTTAGTCCTCCAGAAATATTAAAATAGTCCGCAATGGAGCAGAACGGTATACGCCTAGAGCTTCCTTACACCGTCTCTAAAGCTCGGGCTGCCTCACCTTCTAATCGTAAGGATCGCCAATAGCCACTGCTTTGCACCAAGCGCCAAAATGGCGGCGGCCACGAGAAAATCGGAATGGCGTACCGGTACTCCGAAGCGTAGTTTACTTAATGTTTCTAGTTCCACCTATCATCTATCTATCTCGGAGACCAGATCACCCGTTCACAGTTGAAACTCTGCCGCACTAGCTATCGCTCGTCATTTTTTGTTTGTACAGCAAAAGGGCAAAACCTGTTGCCCTCCTCGCTTCTTCACGCATTAGGTTCACCCCATTCATTCTTTTGACTCTTTCGTCATGACGAGTCCCGGCTCCTGGAACGTTTTTGCGTCAATCGACTCCTTATGTACCCCTCTTCCCGCAATAATGCCCCAATCGAGACGCAACAGGATAGTGGCGACTGGAGCTCTAGCTCCAGTCGCCACTAGCGTGTGACCATTCCATACCTTGGGCCCTTCGTCGTCCTCATCCTCGGCTGGATCGTAGTGTTCGGCAAAGACTGCAAGTCCACGGAAGAGTTAGTGCGGGTCTCGTGGAGCGGCGGCAGCGGCTGAAGCCGTCATTTCTGCAACCAGGGAGGCCAAACGACCTTCCGCACTGCTAATGCACTCACCTGACTTTCGCCTCGAAAACCGGGTAGGGGGCTCTGGAAAGAGAGGAAAGGGGAAACGGATTTAGCCACAGCAAAGTAAAAACAATTTACGAGCATCTTTTCAATATCTAGCTTGTGCCGACACTTTTCAAATTTATATTCCATTCATGTAGCCCACACTTCAAGCGGGAAAAAAGATCTAAAATTACCGGTGACCTTTTTCTCCGAAGTCTTATGACGCATGGAATGCGGCATTTAAGGAGCAATCATTTAAATTTGCCCGAGAGACATGAAATAGTCGTTTCAGGAAGCGATGAACATAGTTTATTAATTTAGCCGCTAAATTTAGCGGGGGCATTGACGACACGAGGTGTCACAATATCACGCGACACCAATTTCTCCACTAGATTTAGGGGGAAAACTGGTGTCACGTGATCCGATGGTACGGTGGGGTTGTGTTATCACGTGATACCAAGATGTCGTGAGAAGTCGCATGATATTAGGTCATGTGATGCGAATTTTTCAATAAATATAGCGAGGAACTTGATGTCACTCAACATGATTGAGTGTTGTAACAATGTCACGTGATACCATGAGACTAGATGACGTCGATTACCCTGCTAGATTTAGCAAGGAAATGCACAAACAGACAGAAAAGTTTCTGGGAAAGAAGGTTCCGTTGAAAATCATTTCATGCTGTAGAAGGGATAAAATGCCAGTGAGCTGGGACAAGGAACCCTATCTCAACCACAACAAGCTGCCGCCCCAGAAAAGAAAACATAGCGGAAAACGAGAAGCATATTCCCAGAATGCCACATAACAAGTATAAAAAAAAAAACCTGCGTTTAGTTTTTGAAATTAGTAAAAAATAGTGACTAAGCGCAGACCAGTGTTCCCGGCATTCTATTTTAAGCCGGGGTCTCGGAACATGCTAAAAAAAAAAAGGAAAACAAAATGCTCCAGGTCAAGCTCGCAAAAGGGGGCTAAAAATTAATTCGAGACATACCAGCAATATCTCATATGGATTAAAGCCGTTAAAAGAACAGGAAATCGGCACTCAAGAACTGCAGTAAAATGTTTTTGGTTCTGTGGTGTGGTAAACAAAGTTTATCCTTCATGTTGCCAATTATATGACACTTGTATGTTCATTTTAAAGTCAGTTACTTATTCTTTTACCAAAATGTGCACATTTCAAATGCCAAAGAACAGTTTGTTTCCTTTCACAACCCAAACAGATGTGACGTCATGGCCTGATGGTCATCAATTCTGGTCCTTGCCTAAAAAAACAGGTTCGGTGGCGCGAAATGCACGCTGCAGGAGGCACAGGCCACCGCAAGACCACAGCAACGGCCGCTGATGCGATGCCAGTGAAAGCCATGCGGGAGAACTACTTTGCCCAGCGTATAAACTACTAAGCATAAAACCTTCTAAAAAACAATTCGTGTAAACTAATTTTTTCCCAAATGTATCTTTATGCGCTGCACTTATCACACTCAAATTTCATGTTCGGGCTTTAAAAATGAAATTTATCCTAAAATATAATAATTTTGTTGTTTTTTATGCACAGGGAGGAAAACAGCAAAGACAGTCCAGTTGAGCAGCTACTTGCAGATTGCACAACATAAAACAAAAGCTTATTTCAGATATATGCACCACCTAAAGACATCTCTGTGAAAAGCTTAAATGCACTACTCTCACAGGTTTACTTCTACTTCTTTTTTTACAGCAAAGCTGTCTGTGACAAGGTTCTGGCAGATCGTCTCCTGGGTCAGACCTAGCTAGAACAACAATTTTGTACAGTTAATGCTGCAGACGCCTTCCCCTTCCGGTATAAAATATTCCAAGTAAATAACCAAAATAAAGCCTTGACGAACGCGCCTGCAAGATGCCCTTTGTTTAACACACGCGCCTTCCCCTACCGCGGCATCTCCCCCCCCCCCCCCCCCCCTGACATTGCGCAATGCCGCGCGCTCTTCGGCGGCCACCTGCCGAAGATCGCGCCACTGTTCTCAGTTGGATTTCAGGCTTCACATGGGTCGCACATGTGTTGGTTGTACGTTTCGAACAGGAGCAGCGGGAGCGCGAGGAGCGTCGGCGCTCCTACCGCGAATGGGCACGCCGCCAACGTGAAACCGCCGTTGCCGCTGCTCGCAGCCCGACATAACAAATCCCACCAGAGCGCTAGCTTCGCTGGACTTCCCTCTTCACCGGGTGGAAGGGCTCTCAATTTCATTTTACGCCCGAGTGCCGCTTGGAAGCACCCTCTAGTTTTCTGGAGCTTAAAAAGAACACAGATTTCCAGGGGAAAAGAAAGGTCGGCTGCTGGTGCGGCACGACACACGACCTCGCTCGGGATTTTTCCGTTCGGTTCGGGACCAGCTGCTGTGGTTCACGGCAACCGAGCTTGTTGTTTCCGCGTACCGACACGCACCAACCGGCGAAAACCTTATTCTTAGCGCCGACCGCTGCTCGCGTTTCCAACACGGGCCTTGGGTTTCACATACAGCACAGATTTTCCGTAAAGACGCGGGCGTTGCATAGAACAGCCGCCATCATCATCATCATCAGCAGCATTGTGACTGGATGGACGGATATTTGCAGTTGCACCCCATATAACAGGCGGTAGCTCGCGCCACCTAGAAAGTGGGATGACCAAGGGGGTTAGAAGACATCACGATTATTCATTAGACAAGCTCACGAGCAGCTATGGGGCTCGCCTCCCGTCGTTCGATGCGTCGGACGGCTGCTATGGTAACTGCAGTGTATTCTATGAAATTAAAGGGAATCAAGGATGGTAATGATGACGATTGCAATACAGCGCCGCACGAACGTTTTTGGCAAAAGCGAGCCGATCAACGCAATACGATGAAAGAGTAGAAAAGCAGGCGAACTGGTGAATGACTTCTATATTTCAACCCGAGAAAGAGCGAAACAAACAAGCAAGCGCACACGCACAGACGCGCGTTTTTTGCTTTTGCCTCACTAGAACCGTGCAGTACAGCAAAAGCTACGGAGAAGAGAGAGACCGTAACTGGCGTAACCCGACCTGTTCAAGAGGAGGAAAAGGGTGTATCCCAGCCCTTCTTTTCTCCCATTCCTCCTTTCTCTCCCCTTGAACAGGTTGGCATCTTTGGATGTACTGCACGGTTTTAGTGAGACTTCGGAAAGAAACGACAACAGGGCCATAGCTAATAAATCACGTATGCTTCCGTAAATATGCACGCGTTGTTTGCGCAGCACGCCACGCTATCAAATTTCGAAACTATCAATTGGCGCGCCCATGAATTTTTCAGTTTCAAACTTACAAAAGTCTATGAAAACAGCATCAAAAGAGCAGAAACAAATGAGCATCATGAGCCGCCTTACTCAAACACAAAAGTGGAAAAAAGAACTTCACCGAAGAACGTTTTGCATTTCACAAAAAGGAGAAACGCACACACACAATAAATAAATAAATAAATAATTACAGAACCTAGAATCATCCCTCAAACTTCCGAAACGCTACCGGCCGCAGCGCCACCGAAACCGCAGCGGATGTTCTGCGCCCAACAGCTGTAATTGGATAGCCGAGCAGAGCCGCGTAAACACACAAGCCAGTAATCAAATACGCCCCAGGCAAAATGGTAAACTGCAGCAGAACAGGGCGGCTAAGCCAATCCAATGAAGAAAACAAAATATAAACAAACCACAAAATATCGCTTGGGTAAACAAAGCGAAAAACGAAAACGTAAAGAAGAAAAAAAAAACAAAAAAACGTAGTAAACAGAAAAGCCAGTCGCTGCTGATTAGAAGCTAGATCAAGTAATCCAAGCTGATGGATATTATATTGATTTTAAACAGAAAACGAAGAGAAAAGGGGCAAAGCATAGGCGAACATCATGAATATTCAGTCTAACGAACACCTGAGACTGAGAAGCACATCCAAAAGCTTTATGTCATTATAAACAGTTACCAGCCAGTCAGCTTGTTGTTTTTATGTCCCCCTTTTTTAAGTACGGTATCATTACAGCATAAACTGGATATCCCACTAGGGTCAAAGGAAAATTACAGGGTGATTCAACATCTCGAGACGCTCATTTATTAGTCCTCATTAATTAGGTACTTTCCTAAGCGTGTTGTATCGCCCCCGCGTGTTCTGAAATTTCCGGAGTGATCGATAATCCGTGTAAAAATGCATAAATAAATAAAAAAATTACAACACTATTTACACACTGTTGCAGTTATTGTCAAATAATGAAAAACAGCGCTGGCGGATCGTAAAGTCGTTTTGACAAAAAAAAAAAAAAAAAAAGAAAATGACAGTGAGGGAAAGTGTGGGCGGTGACTTGCGCCACCTAGCCAAGTAGTATTTTTTTTTTTCAACACTCAATTTAGAAATGGGTCAATTTAATACAATTTAATCTATCCGTCCCTTGATTTTCACCACAATTCCCCCCAATCTTCTTTTACTGATTTATACCTCTTGAAGACGGTTTGTTCCACCGTTGTTCTCGAATCCCAGAGTCACGAGGAAGTCAGCCTCGCCGTGTGATGTCCTTGGGCGGCCAAGCCCCTCACATTCCATGACGACATGCCCTGGCGTTTCGACACCTTCCCCACATACCGCGCATGTAGTATTCACATCTTGAAATGTTGACCCTGTACGCGTCTGGGTTCTCAAAACCCCCGCGTCAAACAATAACGCACTACCTCTAGAATTATCTAATATTCCTCTCTTTATAACATATGTTTTCCTTACCCTGCGCATTTCCAAAGTTGGCTTCTTCTGCATTCTTGTCTCCCAACATTTCTGTATCCCCCTCCCTTGCAATATTATTCACTGTTCCTACCCGCCCCTCTTCCTCGGTGTCACACCAGTACCTTGACGCGAGTCGTCGATATCTCCTCGTCCATTTCCCGCAGCCGTTCCACAAAATCCAGTTTGCTACTTCCCTCCCTCGGCTCGAACGACGACCAACCCATACCTCCCTGTACACCTTCATTACGGGGTTTCCCATGGGCTCCTATAGTGACAACCTGCCTACGCCATGCTGTTTGACCTCCAGTCTTGACTG